ATGAATTAATTTTATTCTTTCAAGCTTTTGAAATTTAATTTTACAAATATTTCGCTAAGATGATTCACTGTTTTGTTGAAGTACTATTTAGAAATTAATTGCGTAAACATTTATCAATATCTCATAAAAAATCGACATTTTTATATGTATTTTTTCAAATACAGATATAACTGTAACTTTACAAATTTCATTTAGATTATGTTATACAATTTTATAAATGTTTTTCTATCTGGGATTACGTACTTTGTTTTCTTGATAATTAGTGTATGTCGTCACTGTTACTGTTTACGTTTCGAATAATATATGTTGCACGTACCGACTTCCCTCTTTTTCGCATCGTTGTGGTCGAAGATGCATTGATTCGCCCAGTCTTGAGCGCCGGATGCAAGCTCGGAATCCCAATACTACGAAGACGAATCATATGCAAGTGTCAACATGTAGATGGATTGCGATATGGGATGATATTTGAGTAAAGCACGGGAAAACTTCGAATATTGATCTCTCAATAATATCGAGTAATGTTTTTGTTAACCCATGGAATATCCCGGGAAAAAAAATTATATATAATTATATATAAATATATATAATTATATATGATTACATATAAATTTTGTCCATATATGTGACCTTATATATGATCATATCTAATTATATATATCCATATAAAACAAAAGTTGTCAAATGAAAAAAGGAAAATATAATTTGATTCGATTAAACGTCGACATCATGGACTTCCATAAACATAAGCATTTATTTCAATTGTATCTTCACAATAGTATTCTTTTCAATGTCGACATATATAATTATATATGATCATATATAACTATATATATGGACAAAATTAATATATAAACTTTTTCCCGGGTATACTGCTATTAACTTCATAAAAATCAATTTTAGTTTGTTTTCTTGACAGATCTATAATTATTTATAAGGATTGATATTATAGGTTGATTCAAAAGTGTTTTCCCATAGAATAAAGATTTCATTTGTCGACATTTTTCTATTAAAAAAATATTTACAAGACCCATTTACTATGCATTGTGTGCGATTAAATGACAACTTTCTTTAATTAATAATTAACAAGGAAACCCACATAAGTATTCACCTCCGATTTTCTTGTAATATGTTGTAGTTACTTTACTGTTAGAAGAAAAGAGTCTTATGATGATAACGTTTTTTTTTCTAAGTAGAATAATTTCTAAGATCTCTCTCTCTTTTTCCCCCTCTCCTTTCCTCTCTTTCTCTCTCTTTCTCTTTCTCTCTCTCTTTCATGTATTATTCTATCAACATATAACAAGTAACACTACCCAAGTGTAACACGCCATTTTTCTGGAAACTCAGCATATATATGTGATATTTTATATCGGCCCGTTTGTTAATTTATACAATTATTTAGACAATTGTTTATCAAAACTCGAAGTGGCAATATATGTGAAAACTATCTGATAAGTCTGTAATATATAAACCTAAAATACATAAATCTAAAGCCTATAAGCACGTAAACTTACACACTCAAAACCCAAGTCGGAAATCTGTAAGCCAAATATCCATAAATCCAAAATACGTAGACCAAAACTCATACGTGGAATTCATACGTGGAAAACATAAAATCCAGGACGTATAAACGCAAATTCAATAAATACAAAACTCAAAGCCGATCAATCGAAAACTCATGAACCTAGAATATTCTGTTACTCTTTATAATCTTAAATTCTACAAACCTATAACCCCAAAATCCATAAATTTTTGGACTTATGGATTTTAGATTTATAGGTTTTTGAATTATGGGCTTTGAGTGCATGGGTTTACATGCTTACAGGTTTTAGGTTCCGAGCGCACGGACGAGTAGCATGTATATATGAGTTTGTAATTTTTTTTCGAAAATGGTATATCGGAAAATAACTTTATCATATATGGTTGAATTCGTATTGAAATAAGCTTTAATTTCGTCATTGGCAAATTTAAAAATTTGAAAAATAAGAAGACGTGGCCGGGGAAATATTAACAAAAATATATATTTTTTCAAATAATTTCTGTAAAGTACTCTTCAAACTATTCAACTTTTATTAAAAATATTTTTTTCTATCTCTTATAGTTTTCATTATATTCGAATGAAAAGAACCGATTTTCTTCAAAGGTATTTCATCCCCTAAACTTGCGAAAGGGCACATATAATAAAAAAAAACATATTATTATTTTGATCTAAAATATTACAAGTGCCTGAAAATCGGAGGCGGACACTTGTATGGGTTTCCTTGTAAGAATTTTACGTGATTGTTCATGAAATGGTTCTATGATTTAGCTTGATCCAATCTACATGTACACATAACGGAAGTATATATTATCGTCAGATACCCTGTAAATATTTCATATCAATATTTGAATAATATACATGAAAACAATTTTAAATAAAAAAATTTTTGAGTCAACTTAATATTTCTCATGACTTTTATTTTCTCTAAGAGTCTTCCTAAGGTAAAGAGAAAATTTATCCCAATTTTTTTGAAAAATACAATAAACCAATTCTTCAATTTAATTAATGCCACAGCGGTATATCTGGAGTTAATGGAATAACTGTTTGTTTTCATAAAATATTTGAAGGAAATTTTCTCTAGAATAAACATTCTTACACTGAAGAAAAAATTGGATGAAAAGAACTGAAATAGATATTCATAATTGCATTTTTTAGAAAATTTTCTTAAGATCATCTTAAGTTTATTTTAAAGTGCTCTATAGCCAATAAAACGATACGTTTAGCATTTGAGGATAAACTTAAGATAGTCTTAAATACGAGATCCAATCTTAAATACCGTTCTAAATCTCAGAGTGACGCAAATTTTCTTGCGCAAACCGTAATCGAGACAGATCGAATAAAAATGTAATCACATCAGTAACTTTACGTACACTGAGAAAAAACTGATTGAGTTAATAAGATTTTGCTTGAATAAACAAAATTCGTTCAAGAGAACGTTTAGTCTATTGAACAAATAATATAATTAATGTGATGAGTTATACAGGGTGAGTCATTTTAATCTTAACAGTGGAATATCTTGAAAACGAAACAAGTGACAAAAATCATATGGTTTAGAGGGGGACGTAAAACGGTGGCATTGCTTTGACATTTAGTAGTCGTTTGAAGGTCATGTGACGGTCATCTTCAATTTCTTAAATGGAAATCCCCATTTTTTATTGCATTTTTAAATTGAGCTAATTCAAATGAACATCTCTCGTATCTTAATGATTTTTTGTAAAATCAATAGTTTCCGAGATATTTGTGTCAGAAGAACGAAAAATGGTACAATCGATTCCTGACTGTGTAAACCGCTTTTAGAGCTATGCAGGATCAACGACGTGGACGTGGCGATAATCTGATTCCTTCGGGGTTCTTGATTTCCGTGAGTCCCTTTGCCTCTCACGTTTAGGGTGCTTGATTTCCATGAATCCCCTTGCCTCTCACGTTTGGGATGCTATTGATTTTACAAAAAATCATCAAGATACGAGAGATGTTCATTTGGATTAGCTCAATCTAAAAATGCAATAAAAAATGAGGATTTCTATTTAAGAAATTGAAGATGACGGTCACGTGACTTTCAAACGACTACTAAATGTCAAAGCAATGCCACCGTTTTACGTCCCCCCTCTAAACCATATGATTTTTGTCTAAACAATGTTTTGTCACTTGTTTCGTTTTCAAGATATTCCACTGTTAAGATTAAAATGACTCACCCTGTATATGAGTTAATTGATTCAATAACTATAGCTAATAACTCTTGTATTAACGCAACTTATTTTTGCATTAACGTGTAATTTATTCAATAGATACAATATCTCTTTGAAGGCAGATAACCGCCAATTTTGTCAATCTAATTGATTTTTCTCAGTATATACACAGGAGTTTGAAATGGTCAATAAAATTCAATTAATAGTAAAAAGTTAATGAAAATGAAATGTAGTTGTACATGTAACGTAGATATTTCTGTAACTGCTGAAATATTAATTTAATTACATAATATAAGTAATTCAACTTTTGATGAAAATTAAGTTAAATAAATTAAACGATAAATACCAATAATATGTTAAATCATCTCTGTGGTCGTCTTATTAAGTTAAATTTTAAGTTAATTTAAAAGGGAATAATTTTCTAATAAAAAAAACAAGAAGACCAAAATTTCGATGAAAGAATTAAGAAATTAGTATGTATTAGTAACATACAATTAATAAATTTCTTTTCTTATTATGTAGTAGATATTTTAAATGTACGAAAGAAACTATTTGGAAGCTCAAAGAAAAGAGTTTTTTTTGCGCTATAATTTTCTTCTTATACAAATTTAAAAAACTCGTCGATCATCCAAACCATCGCTTTTAAGCGAGTTTCTAATTTTCGGGCAATATGGATGATCACGTGAGTCTCATTATACTCGTGAAGATCGCTTGCGATCGAAACATAGGAAACATCAAGGACATCGTGTCAGTTGACGTGGACATGGCAGTTTATATTTTATCGCGACGCACCAGCTCGCGCATATTGGCGGCAGGTGGTTGAGCATTAATTGATCCTTCGGCGATAGACTGACGTATCCTGTTGTGGGTGTCGAGAATGTCACGTACGATGTCACACGTTATGTCGTTGTCTTCTGCAACACGATAATAATTGGAAAACGTCCAGATCGAGGATAAAATATGCCACTTACGTGCGCGAGAGTGCAATATCGTAAAAACGCGAAACGGAACAAGAGTTTCAGTTTGATTAACTGAATAAGAATTGAATGAAAAACTCGCTAACGAGAAATAATATCTCTGTTTACCGTGAAAACATTCGCTTGAACATTCAGCTACATCAAAATACGGTTGAGATAATTAAGAGACCAGTTGGTTCAGTGGCGTAGCCAGAAAAATGTTTCGGAGGGGGTTGTACTTTTTATTTTTGACGAGCAAAAAAAAAGTCATTCGAAAAAATTTTGCTTACACTTAAGCGTAATCTAGAAAATTAATTTCAGGGAGGTTGCAGCCCCCTCAGCCCGCCTTCTGGCTACGCCACTGAGTTGGCTGAATAGAAATACTTTACAGGAAGCTTTTTGTTCTTAGTTTTCCATCTGGTCTCCAAGTAATAGGAAATTCAGTTACACTAACGAAGTTGTTTTGCAATGTGTAGAAAATAAGAATAATATTTATTCAGTTTTAATTAAATTAATTGATAATTAACTCAGCCGGCAGTGTTGCCAATATGCAAAGGAAAAAAACGCTTGTTATTAAAATGAGTTAGAAAACTTGTTCCTGTTTTTTCGATTTTAATAACTTATATTAAAAATTGCTGTTGGGAGAACAAATATTAACTATTTTATTTTGTTAACATATAGTTAGTGAAAGAAAAGTTGTAAACATTTTTATCTCGATAAACTTCGCATCTTATATCCAAAAAGGAAATTTCGTTTTTATTAATAATTTGTTATTATTATTAAAAGCATTTGTTATTATTATTAAAAAGATTTATTACACATATATAATTTTATTAATAATTATTAATTATTAGTAATTATTAAAAACAGTTATTCCATGGTATGCATTTCTCGAGATAGAAGTGTTGTAACTTTTTTTTCATTGTTTGTATATAGAATTAAAAAATTTTTTTTGTTATACAAGAAAAAATCGAATAAATCACTAAAAGCTGCAAATATTTAATTATTATATTAATAAAAAAAGGAAAAACTTAATAAGAGCAGAGCGTTGGTCTTCATGTAATAATATTATTTAACAGCAAAAAACATTAATTGGTAAACATCATATTTACATGATATTCCATGACTACTTCATATTTAACGTTTGATATAAACTTTAATAATTAATTAAATATTCGCAACTAATATTTTTTTTCTTGTGTTGACTCTTATTGACTTATATATGATTCTCGTTTATATATGAATATGATTTAACTTATATATGATTCTCCTTCCATATATATCATATAAAATACTTTCATATATAATAACATTTTAAATGTTCACATTTTAGGATGTTTTTATGCATTTAATATATTTCCTTATTATAATCTGAAAGACTAAGAATAAGAAACGACGAGAGAACTTTATTCTACAATAATATTATCAAAATGACATGTCAATCCCATACGAAATATTTCAAATATTTTGGCATGGTTTTTGTAAAGAATGTAAATTTTGATAGACAGTTACATACAAATTGGGTTATTCGTCAGTCTAGAATTTTTTTTGAATACATGTTTCCGTAAAAACCTGGATATCTGCTCTTTTTCACGATTTCCTCGATTTTCCGGGAAACTCAAGGGTGATAGAGCAAATCTGACACCGGATTTGGATTCAGCATCCCAAAATACGTATAGTATACCTAGTCAGACTCCCAGCACAGACAACTTTTTTTAAATTGTGGGCCTGTGTAATAGGAGAGGTCGGGTAAACAAAAGAAATTAATATTTCTTTATAAAAAAAATATATAAATAATTACAAAAATTGTAATTATATAAAATTATATAAAATTATATAATTATATAAAATTATATAATTATATAAAATTGTAATTATATAAAATATTTCTTCATAAAAAAAATATATAAATAATTACAAAAATTGTAATTATATAAAAATATATATATAATTACAATTTGCTGGTGTGTGTGTGTGTGTATGTGTTGTGTGTGTGTGTGTGTGTGTGTGTGTGTGTGAGTGAGTATGTGTGTGAGTGTATGGGGTGAGGATGAGCGTTAATGTTCAGGATTATTGGAAGGTGAAGGGGATGGAGAATAACTTATAGGAAAAGATGGAGGAAAAGATGGAGATGGTGGACGAGGATGCAGATCTAGCGGAAATGGCTGTAGATGGAGAAGGAAGGGGGGTAAATCTTCTAAATATTGTGTTAGTAATCTATGGGTTATCCGTTGAAATACTTTGCGCGAAAGAGAGTCTGAGATGGAAGATAGTAGCTCCAGAGTTTCTAAAGCCTCGCGCAAATCACTCCGTTGCTGGCAAGACCGACGTCCCATTACAACTGGGGAAGAGACAAACCGATTTTAGAAATTCTGATCGATAATTAATGTCCACCGGAATTATCGCGGTTGAGTTTTTGATACAGCGTAAAAATATGGCTGCCTGGACTTAAGTGAAATTGAGACGCGGAACATTGTTAAATATTGGAGGGTCAGATTTAAACCAATTTCTTGAGTTAAATAATATTTAGTTATTTTTAACTATCATGTGTGTCAAAATTTACTATTTTAACACAAAACATGTGTTTAAAAAGACAACCACATCTAATCAACCCATTTAAAATAATATTAAGTCATTTTTTACTAAAACTTACATTAACGTGCACATAATAAAAAATAAACCAAATTTTAGTCAAATTTAATACATTTTTTAAATTAAATTATTTAACTCCATTACATTAATTAAATTAATGACATATTTAGTAAGAGCAGTGGCGACTTATAGGAATGATTAAAAATAACTTAAATTGAATATAATTTGACACTACAGATTTAACAGTGAAGGATGGATAATAAAACAATGACTTACTGTTGGAGTGTATGAAGAAAAAATTTAATCTTTCTAAATCTCCTGAGGTCTTAGTCTCCCTCTTGTCGGATGTTGGTTGCTTCGTGAGTGCGACGGAGATTGAAATGCCCACGAATGTGATGTGGATGAGAGTGAGAATAATAGGCGTAATAGTGACACTCGTAGCGATACTGACTCGAAGTCGTAATGATAATAATTACAGAAGTGATACTCGTAGCGGTAGCTATAGACGTCGTAATGATAATGAACATCGAAGTCATCCCACACAGCAAGAATGTCCCAAATATATCATAAGGATATCTTGAAGATATCACATATCCCAAATATATTTTTAGGATATTCTATGATATATTTTGGACACCTCTGCTGTGTGGGATACGGATCGGACATTTTATAGTTTCGGAAAATGGGAAATTTCGGGGATGGCGGTTACCGGATTCGTTGGAGATGTCTTGCTTAGTAACAAAGATGAGGCTCGGATTGGTGGGAAAAAATAGAAATTCGGAAAATGTTCGATCAGGCGATATGTGGACATGTGTAATTGTACGTAATATAATTCATGATTCTTTCGTAAGGCTCGAGATCTACGTGTTCCTTTTGTGTACACTGAGAAAAAAGACTGGTAACTATAACAAACTGCATTTAGTTACAGAAATTCATTGAATCCTTAGTAACTAATACTAAATATGATAATAATTACCAAATATTTAATAGATCGGGAGTATGACGTAATTGCATTCACAGTAACATCAATTAAATAATTTAGTAATAGTTACTTAATGTTAAATATTTAATATGAAATATATTACAGTTATGAACAGATATTTGATAATTGTTATGAAATCGTTATATCCCATATAATAAAAAATTCAGTAGGTACGAGTTCTATTTTGTTACCAGTATAAGTATGTTTTGTTGCAGCACAACGAAAAATTCATTCATTTGCAGCTATTACATCGTTTCAATATCTATTATTACAGATAGTTGGTTGAACCTATCAAAAATTTTGTAACTATTACAAAATCGCTTATTTTGCTCAACTATTCAATAAGTTTTATTTACCAAATATATTCTGGAAGCAAATAAATTTTACTTCTGTCAAATAAATAATTTATTTTACAGAACTAAATTAATTAATAAGTATTGCTATAGCTTTGGCCCGCTATATTTACGTCTATCATTTAGTAATAGTAACTAAATTTTGATAATATTTACTAAATTCTTCTCTCAGTGTACTTAGCTTTTGTAACCCGGTCGGATAAGTAATCGGTCTTTACGCCATGTAAAGGTACGTGAGGCCCTACGGGACGTAACAATATATATCTTTGAAAAATAGACGTATAATACTTCGTGATTTACCTTGTAGGTAAATCAATCAGATTTAGCCTTAAACTAAATTAAGAAGTTATTACTAGTTCTTTAATGTAATTAGAGGTGTATTTTTCCCTTTTCAAAATGGAAGATATTTCTTTCAGTTGCAACAAAATGAAGTTTATATTTTGTAGGACATGCTATTTTTGTTATCGACATTTTCTGATAATATGTTATCCACCGGATTTAGAATGTTAAGTGTGGTAATTGATTTATCGATCAATGAGCATAAGAGTCGCGCGGGGTGGCGCTACGGTGAGTGCGCCTATGTGTGTGTGTCTCCGTCGCTAGTATAGTTTAGTTTTAGTCAGTTCGCCGCTCTTCAACCAAGCGATGTAGTTTACTTCAATAAAGCCCTTTTGATTATTGTGAGTGTAAAAATATACAACACAAGACGTAACATATTTGTAACAAACTTTTTGATGTTTTTTTTAATTTTATAGTTATGTTTGTAATCTGTTATATTTATAATGTGATAGTGTAACAAATATATATATATATATATATATATATATATATATATATATATATATAATTATATTTTTAATGTCAAATTAAAAGTTATTTAAAGGTAACGTTTAAATTAAAGTTACTTTAATATAAGTTAGTTTCATTTATGACTTTACTTTTTTGTAAAATATATTTTTCATAATTCAACTGTCCCATAACCATTAATTAAATTAATTAAATTTACCATTAATTAAATTAATTAAATTAATTCGTGCCGTGCTTTTATCTTGAGCCCGGCGCTACTTGATATATAAAGCAAGACTTGGGAAAATATTAATTCTCTACATCAGTTGTCAGTTTTCACTTATTTTTAAGGATTGTTTTGATGATCAAATGTAGTTGACATAGACTGTACTTTTCAATAAATTTACTAATTTTATTGTAAAATTAAAAGAACCTAAAATTTGGTCTATTATATTGCAGTCTTGGTTCCCCTTACATTTATCGGCATATGTGTGATGCATTATCTTTCAACTCATTTTTTTCAAAACTTTCAATATTCCATTTAATATTTTACATTCGCTATCAAAATCACATATGTGATAATTTTTCTTTCTATATTTAAGTAAACCGACTAAATCTGTTTTACATAATCATATGAAAACAAATACAATATGACTTGTGGGAAAAGGTTAAACGAACCGTGATAACAAACGCGTTAATTTGAGTTTGCTTACTCGTTTACGCAGATTGTTTATATATTTTGTATATGATATATTTACGGTTGTTTTTGTAGACAATACAAATTATATCGAATATTGCAAATTATATCAACATGTATAAAAAAAGTAGATTATGAAACGCTTACCGTATCTGTTTCAGATATTAATTATGAATGAAATGTTAAAAAATTGCATGAAATTTTCATTCTATTATGTGACAGATGGCAGATTTGATTCTGAAGAAGTAAGAGTGTCACCGAAAAATTCTTTAGACTCTCATTTGTTGGAAACAACGTCCATAAACTTACATCAAGATTCTAAAGGTTAAATAACAATTAAAATTTTTATCAATTAATATTTGAGTAAGCCATATGTTCTTGAGACGATGTTCATAGATTTTCATTTATATTCATCTTATATTTCATTGATTTTGACCAGTGGAAGTAAGATTTCTCTGCAAAATCTGTACACTGCAAAATTCGTTACATGCTGTATCCAATTTTCCAAGATCTATGTTTCCGGCGATGAAATTATTGACTTTTGCATGCGATTCGCGCGCAATGACGCTATCTGCCTTTGCAAATTACATCAATAGGGACAGTCGTTACTTCCAACTGATTCTTTCACCGAGGTTTTACTGATTGTAGTGCTATACTTATAACTAAATCATCAGCATTTCAGTAAAGAATACAATGATTGCACTTTAAATGTAATATTTCTTTTTGTACTCATGTAATAGGTATGTCAAGTTATGATACATTGCGGCGCTTTTCCAGGAAGAATTTCTGAATAGAGCTATGCTTTCGAACGTATAAAGGTGAAAGGCCCCTTACTGTCTACATCTAACATTCATTGTCTACATAGATGACGTTACAGACACAGTTTACGTCTTTTACACGTGAACGTAAGCTATTATAATTTACGCAAAAAACGCCCAACTCTTGGCCATCCCTAAAAGGATGGCTTTTCTTCAAAAAGAAAGGACGCGCATTCGCATGACGTCGTTATAGTCATTCACCTGATATTTCCATGCCGGGACAAGCCGGACGTGCGTTTATCCTCGGGACCACGAGACTCAGCAGGCAAAACGGCAGCGCGAAACGTCCAAACGCGTTCGATCCGAGTGACCACTTGAGATCTCCTCGGGTTCGCCACTTCTCCGCTCTGAGAATGCTTTTGTTCGGGTCGCGGAAGTCACCAGCGCGCGGCGAGGACATCTTCGCGATAAGCTCTCTTCGCACCGATCGAACGTAAGAATCTGTCACGACAATAAAATGACGCGCGCTCACGAGGAAACATAGACTGTGTTCAGCAGAGAGAGCTGCCTTGCAACTGTTGAAAAACAACTTGCGAATCTGATTGGCGCATACGCCCTTAATTATAATAATAATAATATTCTTGGCGGAATCTAAGAGCGTGTGCTATAACCAGATTCACGAAATTGACGGCAGTTGCAAAGCAGTTTTCTCCGCTGAACGCGATCATAGTTAAAAACGCAGACGGTTTCTCTCGCTCGTCCGCTCGCCTCTACGCACGCGAAGGCTACACCTGGCTTCGTGACGTTACAAAAATCGAAGCTTGTAAAGGTGAAGAAGCGAAGGAAGAAATAGGAACGCGCGATCTTTGGATCCGGCCGAGACGAGCGCGTTACGAGCTATTTTTCGAAAATGGTCGTCGTGCTGTTTTAGTTTCTTCTCCTTTCGGACGGACGAAGCTGCGCGCACACGGCTGTGTAAATCGATAAAGTGTCTTTCGGCGCGCGATTACTGTCGTTGCCGGCGTTTAACCCGCTGGATTTTTATCTCGTGCGCCGTGCGGAGTTCGGTAGCGCGGCATTCGTTCAAAGCGAACGATATTCTGGCGATTTATCGAGCGAAAAATCGATACCACATTCTCATCTTTTATGGGCAACCGTTTCCTCGTTCGTTCTCCGTCGCACCCCTCGCCCTCCCCTGCTCTTCGCTCTCATTCACTCTCTCTTTCTGTTGTGCGCCTTGTCTTACCTCCGCCATTTACAACGGCGTTGTCGCGTTGGAGATATTTGGCCGAAGAATTATTGGAATATATTTGAAAGATAAAAATATAGGAAGAAAGCAAATGGAAGAAAAAGTAAGGAAATATCTGTGATACGAAACCCACAATCGATAACGGAATAACGTGAGAAGTACGATCTTTTACTCGTTTTATAAGCTTTTCACCTTTATATGTGTTTGGAAACAAAGCAAATTCAGAAATTCTCCTGGAAAGACACTGTAATTTGTGTTGTAACTTAGCATAGTTATTATACAGAATGTCTGATAACTCACAGAGAAGTGGTGGTGTATAGATAGATCAAACTGAACAAAATTTTCTCTACCATTTTGCGAGCAACAACGTAAAATTCTAAGTCATTAATCAAGGAAGATTCGTGAATAATCACGCGCCATATGGTAGATGAGCTGTGATGCCGCTGTATATTTGTATATTAGATCAATTGAACAAAAAAGTCCACTAGTACATACATTTTCCAAATGACCACGTTTAGTTATTAATTAAAGAAGATTAGTATACAGTTGTGCGTGATAATGCATCAATCTACTTTCATTAATAACTAAACGTCTACGTAGTTATTTGGAAAATGACTTTGTTGTTCAGTTTGACTTACACTGAGAGAAATTATCTGATAAAAAATTAACAAACAAATATTTTCCATCAAAGTACCGATGAATTTTTGTATCCGATGAGAAATATCGGTAATTTTTTGATCGGTTTATTTGACAAAATGTCATTATCGGAAGTATTAGATAAAATTTAATTGAATATCCTAATGGGATATAAAAATTGATTGGAAATATTTGTTTGTTAATTTTTTATCGGATAATTTCTTTCAGTGTAATTTTTAAAATTTTTTTATCAGATAATTTCTCTGAGTGTAATATACAATTATACAGCGGCGAACGTCGCTATCACAGCTTATTTAGCGTATAGCGTGTAATCATTCACAAATCTTCTTGAATTAATAACAAAATTTTACTTGGTTGTTTGTAAAATAGTAAAGAAATTTTTTGTTTTGTTTGACCTAGTTTACATCACGGCTCCTCCGTGAGTTAGCGGATATTCTGTATAAGTATGGAGGAATATCTAAAGTGCAAGTCAATGTATTCTTCATTAAAATGCTATACTCATAACTGGTGGTTCAGTTATAAGTACAGCACTGCAGGTCCTATTATTTCTATTATTGATGCAATTTGCAAACGCAGACAGCGTTATTGCACGCGAATCGCATGGAAGCCAGTAATTTCATTACTAGAAACACAGAAAGTTGGATTTTATACAGCATGTAACGAATTTGTAATGCATGATTTTGCAGAGAAATCTTACTTATAAGAATATAATATGGTTGTTTGGAAAAATGTCGTGCCTAAATGTCGTATCTTAACTTTGAGTATTGATATGGGGAACACACATACACATTCTTAGGGATCGTCAATTTCTATCGGTTACAATAATAGACGAGGTTCCATAATGACAAACGATATTCGAGGGATTTATCGAGTGCAAAATCTGTATTGCATTTTTATCGCTCGTACGGCTAACGGCATTCATGATTGATGCTTCATCACATTTCGCCTTTGTGGTTTATGTGCATTGGCGTCGACGTATGATATTCTCCATACACGTTGTACCGTGATAGATCATGCTTCCTTGAGAATTAATCTCGCCTCGAGACGTCGTGTACCGTAAATCCTTGCTTTTTGTATATTGAGAGAAAAAGCATTGTTGATCTAATTAAAATTGTAGTTTGCTTTTGGCCTCAACCAATATATTTTCCTGTATAAACGAAAAAATTTATTTTCACACTAGTATCTAATATTTTTCAAACGAGAAAATATACACTTTCTTAAAATATTAAGAAAACCTTAGCTAATCATGAAAGTAATTGTTTAAATGTTCTATTCAAATAAAAGAACTTGAATTTAAATAAATACCAGGTCTGTAAATATGAAACCGGAATTTGCCCATAGATGGCCCTAGCTGTCAATGTAGTTACCGTCAAACCGCGTCATTGGCGCCATTTCCTTGTTGATATCTCTGACAAAGATTTTCAACTCACAACAATACAAGTTTCATACATCAGCATAGTTTGTAATAGCGTTGAATATGTCGAATTTTGTGCCTGGAAACTACGATTTGCGGACAGCATTGATTTTCTGTTACCATTTGAAGAAAACTGCTGCAGAATCGCATCGAATGCTTGTCGAAGCTTACGATGAGCATGCTCTTGGTAAATCACAGTGCTTTGAGTGGTTTAAAAAATTCAAAAGTGGCGATTTTGACGTGAGAAACGAAGAACGTGGAAGACCACCGAAAAAGTTTGAAGACAGCGAATTGCAAACATTGTTGGATGAGGATGACACTCAAATGCAACAACAACTCGCGGATCAATTAAATGTGACACGAGAAGCCGTCTCCATACGTTTGAAAGCCATGGGAAAGATCCAGAAGATGGGAAAATGGGTTCCACATGAACTGAATGAAAGACAGCAGGAAAACCGAAAAACCACTTGCGAAATGCTGCTCGCCAGGTACAAAAGAAAGTCATTTCTCCATCGAATTGTGACTGGCGATGAAAAGTGGATATATTTTGAGAATCCTAAGCGTAAAAGATCATGGATAACTCCAGGCGAACCATCGACATCGACTGCAAGGCCAAATCGTTATGGACCGAAGACAATGCTCTGTGTTTGGTGGGATCAGAAAGGTGTAATCTATTATGAGCTGCTAAAACGTGGCCAAACCGTTAATATTGAACGCTACCGACAACAAATGATCGATTTGAATCAAGCTTTGCGTGAAAAACGACCAGAATATAAAAAAAGGCAACACAAAGTGATTTTGCTTCATGATAATGCACCATCACACACAGCAAAACTGGTCAAGGAAACGATTGAGGCGTTTAGTTGGGAAATACTTTCGCATGCGGCTTACTCACCAGACTTGGCTCCGTCCGATTACTATTTATTTGCATCGATGGGACACGCACTTGCTAAGCAGCGCTTCACTTCTTACGAAAATGTACGAAAATGGCTCGATGACTGGTTTGCCTCAAAAGAGCAACAGTTTTTTTGGCGTGGCATCCACAAATTGTCAGACAGGTGGGAAAAATGTATAGCTAGCGATGGGCAATACTTCGAATAAAATATTTTTTATCATTTTCATACAATAAACGTGTATTTTCTATACAAAAATTCCGGTTTTATATTTACATACCTGGTATGTTATTAGTACCCGCCAAATAAATATTTATTATTTTCTAAATATTTTTTCTCTTTTAGTGTAGAGAAAAAGTCATAAGATAGTCGTTTCCATACAATGTAACTTTTGTTGGATATATTTATCTTCTACTTTCATATTTCGAAGATATCCAAGTAATAGTTATTACTTTACTCTGCATATAACGAACGAGCTGTCTCAATCCTTTCAGCTGCATTTTCGTGTCCTTTTTCAACCTTCTGCTCGTGTAAAACTCCAGTTCAACGAGACAATCATAGGACTGACCCAACACACATTATTGATCGCACTTATCGTCTTACTTATCTTTATTTATCTGATTTATCTCGCATCAGAGGTGGAACTATTCGTGCTGCGCAACTAGATCAACTGTTTGGGAATTGAAAGGACATCTATATTTGTATATATAGAACCGAATTTCAGTGTTTCGCGCTAACCTTTTACTATCAACTAAATTTTATAGTTAAAATTTCTCAGAGGTATTAATTTGATTCGATTTGATTACAGTTCGTGCGACAAATTTACATTTAATCCTGAGACTTAGCTCCTTTTATTACTATAAATAAAAAATACATAAATATAAAATTTATTTATATTTTTATGTCCTATTCACTTAAAAATCTCTTTTTTATTTTCTTTCCCTCAGTGATTACGTCTGTACGTTGTAGATCGACTTTAATGTAATCAACGTTATGCGAATTAAAAGTTCGACGTTTATTTTCCCCTGCACGGCCTGTTATACTTTAACGTATTGTGTTCGTTTGTGAGCACGGAATTGCTTCGCGGTTAGTTATATTTCAAGAGAAGAGAAGGTGAAGTACTGTACTTTCTAAATATCTGTTAACGAGCAATTACTGTTCTTCAGGTTTTACCTTTTGATTCATCCTCTCTCTCTCTCTGTGTCTCTGTCTCTCTCTCTCTCTCTCTCTCTCTCTCTCTCTCTCTCTCTCTACGCAACGTTTTCGTCGTTGCTGAATTATATTTGCAGTTTGAAAAAGTTCGCGTTTTAGTCAAACGCACTCGACGCGATTACGAGCTGAGTCGGTTACCGTTTTGGATTTTAATTTTAACACGAACGCTCGCAGCGACATGCAAACTTACTGTGCGTAGTTGATGCTACAAAGTGGGATTAGAGGAGCTCTTACCAACGCGAGACGGCCACGTCGAGGAGTGTAATAAACATTTTACCGCGGTACACTCGTGCCCAATTAGGGACCGCGTGCGACACACGTTAATATTAAACGCCCCACTCGTGCATTTTGCAGCCAACGTCTCGATACTCATGGCGAAACGAGGCACTCGAGAGAGTCGGGGAACAGCGAAGAGACGTTTTCTCTTCTCTTGCAGACAACGGCGCGGATCCCTTAAGGAGAAGAAATGGAACGTCTCTCTTGCTCGTTCGGGCGAGCGCGTTGTTAATCAACAAGTGGCGTTTGCATCGAACAAAATGGTACGATACGATATCTCGGAGTGCATTATGTATTTCACGTTCCGCCGGTGAAGTACAATCGAGACGATTCGTGACGGTTCAGGATTCTAGAGGAGTTCGTCTCGGCGCATAATGTCGCGTATACGACTAGCGAGGCGACGTATACATTTCCATACCGACGACGTGGCACGCATCTCTTCGCGAATTATTCGTATGCGAATGTATACATTATTTATTATCAGGTGCTGTATTTTCAGTGAGGCACATCGAAGGAGCTGCTCGTAAATTTACAATTTATCAAACTAAATTACGTTTCTATCAGTAATCGAATCATCTACACGAGAGAAAAATGTATGATATTTGGAACTATAATGGCATAGTAAAAAGATTATAGTTAGAAATATCTTTTTTATAGTAAATGTCACCATAATGCTTGTAATATTTACAATATAAGCATAGTATAACTGACTCATGTAAAA